TTTATTGTATTTCAAAAAAATTATACAATAAATTTAGAACAGCACTCTTAGTATCAAGTTTACTTGATGACACAATTTGGCAGCAATAGAAGGGCCTAAGCCATTATACTAGGAGTTTAACTCAGAAAAAATCTCAATAACCTAACTGAATTTTGGTTTAGAAAATAAATATTTACAAAGTAGCACATTAAGGTCCTTTAAATTTCACAGATCAAACGACTTGTGTATATATTTACATGGAATGGCTAGAGTGAACAGGAAATACTTTGTCCTTTTTATTGCATTTGTCACATAAAACGTTGGTTTTGGGTTTTTTTAACCTTAAATTTTATTTTTTTTTTTTTGGCTTTCCAGCAACCTATGCTCATATGACATGGTCACTTCGTCATTATAAGAACTTCTGGCACATTGGCAGGAATCAGCATTGTGCTGGACCTGGATACCACTGGTTTGGTAGATCCAAAGTCATGCCCAGTTCTAAAACCAGTTGATAAAATTGTTCTCCGACTCCCTGCTGTTGCTGCTCTTACTGTGAGGAGATGCACCACCTGCACACTGGCAGGAACCTCTTCTATTACTACTTTCCATCCAACCAAGACAATGTAAGAGTCCTTATCTACGTTATCAGACAGTATTTCTGCTGTAGTACCAGTACAACTGGCTGCCCTTAATTTTTTAATGTGTTCTGTCTGTGATGAATTTACTAATATCAACTGCTTTATGGGACCATTAGTATGTGATTTTAGGATCCTTCATAAACATATTTAAAGCATATTTAAAGCATATTTAAAGCTCAGTAATTTTGAGCTGTTACATGACGTACAAAAGTGTTTGGTTGTGATAATTTCCACTGGGAGTGAGGTGTTAGGAGGAACAGTAAATAACCCCCCTCAGGCCGTTAATGTCTCTTTGTAGCCTTTAAGAAAAGTATATCATATCTAGAACTGAATATTTCATTTATGAATCTGAAAAAAATTGAGACCCACAATAAAATGTCTGCAATAGAACTGTAAAGAGGATTAATTGTAAGAAAAGGTACTATAAATAATAAATGTTTTAAGAAAGAAAACTTTCCTGAAAATATGTAGAAAAACCAAGTACACTGGCAATTATTATTCAGCAAAGGTGTTGTCCAAAAAACTCATAAACCAACAGACCAGCTTAGTTATTGCCATTATGTAAAAGCCAAAATGTACCGAAAACACAGTAACTTCTCTGTTGTCCTAATGACTATAGCTCACCTTTCTTTTTCTTTCTGAGGTTGAGATCCACATGGAACTAGCAGAATAGAAGAGAGAAACACTGATGGCTCTGCATATACCTAGAAGTATAGCAGAAGCCCAGAGCTGCATAACCTCATGGTCAGGGGATGCTTATCCAGGGTAGTCCCAAGAAAATGCTGGGCTTGGTATTCTCTGTGTTTAGGCACTGCTACCAGAGACCAATAAAGTGACAGGGCCCTTCATGTGGGGGTTTCATCCTTCTCCTGCAGGCTCTGTACACAAGTATTATTGTTTTGTTTCCTGGTTTTGTGCTTAATGAAATGAACTAGAAGTGGCAAG